CCGCAGCGCGCCTTCCCATTCTGTTCTGGGCTGTCGTGGGGTTGTAGAAAGCAACGCAGCTGCCTCTCATCCCTGTTAATAGCAAAAGCTACGAACACAACGTTTTAAAACTGCAGCCCTATGGAGGAATAACCCCTGGACTCCTAGGGCTGCTGTGGATGAGTTAACAAGTTAAGAACAGAACATCTTACCCTCTGTAGAGCTCACCAGGAAAGCGTGGCCATGCTTCTTTCTCTAACCCACCTCACTGGGCTGGCACGTTACCTTATCTTTGGACACGGCGCAGCTGGTCTGCAGCTCCAGGGCAGAAGAACAAGACCCCTTCCCTACCCCAGTACTGGGCAGCTGAAGCTTGACAGAGCAGAAGGGCTTCACACATCACATCTCTGGCCCACCAAAGGCTGGATGGCAGAAAAAGTGTTTTGTAACGTCGCCCAAACTATTTTAAGCATGCCGAACGTGATGATAATAGAACACGTGTACGCGCCACACTCTCCACCTACTGTACGTATGAAAAGGCTTGCAGAAAGCACGTTCTCCAAGTAGCGGTATGAAAGAAATCCAATTCATTGCTTGTTCCTCCCCGTTCACAGCTTACGAGCAGAGTGCAAGCTGAGAGGCAGGGAAATAGAACTGGATTGCTTTGCAGATACAGGCAACAAAGATGGATACTCCATTGGTGTTTACTTTCTTGAATGACACAGCAAAAAAAAAAAAAAAAATCCCAAACCTAAGTCACACTGATCCCAGAAACAAATGCATTTCAGATATTATAGATATTTCACTCTTAAAATAGACTGTGAAAATTGATAGACTTCGTATTTGATTTGTTTGCACTGAAAAGTTGCTCTTCCTTCTTTCTTCCTAATGCACTGCAGCAAGCAGTGACACTTCAGTCAAATATGTGACATGGCAGTTGACAGGGATTTCTCTAAAGGAATTTCAGAGATTCTGGAATTTGTTCGCACAACCTTCATCTGAGATATTCAAAACAATTACCTTTTTGGCTGGCCACAAGAGAGATCAGTTTGACAGAATTATGGAAAACGCTGAGCACGAACTCCCAGGCTGGCAGGTAACAAGCCATCCTTTTCACAGGAAACAGATTTTAACTATGCCAGGTTTTAGGTCATATTTATATAAGTATGATAAAAATTAAGCAAAGGCTATACGTACCTTTATTTTGAGTCTAAAATAATTTCAGTTCCCTTTAAAGTTATGACCCTTTATTTAAAGTTATGAAATTAAAATAGTGCCCAAAGTACTGTAGTGAGATGAAGCACAAATGTTCTAAGGTAAAGAAAGCATACTGTACGGTATATTTCTATTTTGCTAATAAAAATTACGCAGCATTATTAACATATTCTAAACTGATCTCCACCGAATCTGCATCTGGAAGCATCATAACCTCCCTGGTAAATCATATTTGAGTGGATAAATGGGGCTTCTCCCTTCAGGGTTCAATAAAGATTTAAGGAAAAGGAAGTACTTTCCACATTATTTTGTCAGTATGGACACTTGCCCTTTTCAAAATTAAGAATTACTGAGAAGAACCTTCAACTTTTTTCCACCCTTTATTTTGTCTGGCTACCCTTGTTTTGCTAAAAGAAAGGATGACCTAGAAAAATTTAATCTCCTTCCTGAAGTACAGATGACTAAATCAGCTAGCTATGCAAAAGCAATAAACATATTCACAATGACTAGCAAAGGAGTGATATATTATCTTCAGATAGCAGTAAGAAACAGAATCCTTCACAATCATTCGATACAGCTTCCAAAGTCAGATAAAGGTCAGAGTCAGTCAAGATTTTTTTTCTTCGGGGAAATTATGCACGGCATTTTTCCTGACAAAAGCTCTGTGACAAGTAAAACTACGACAAATTCAAGCTATTCTGTATTCAATTGCTCAGTCCCTTTAAATCTCATATTGAAGTCCTGCTTCCTAAAGCAGTCAGGGGAATGGGCAAAGACGGGATAAATACAGACCTGACTTTCCAAAGAGCAGACAACCTTTGTAACGATACGAACTACCCGTGGGGGAAGGTAAGAACTAAACAAAAATACATGGCAAATAATTGGGGGAATCAGAGTTGCATTATGCAAATATTTGTAAATAAGTATATTTCAAATGTTTCTATTCTTATTTACCAACCTAGAATTTTTTTGCGTAAGCTTTACTCAATTCCATGCTTTTCTTCATTTTAACACTTTCCAAAACAAATACATTCTCTCTAACCATATTAGAAAACTTGAACTTTCTTGAGATTCAATCTTTTTTGGATTATCAGGTAATTTGTTTAAAATTAACCCAAAGCAATCAATCACCTATGGTGAGTTATTCTTTATGACTCAGCAGAAGTCATCTGGCTTCTCTCTCCTCCTTTATCAAGTGTTCGGAGGTAAGAGAGATTTACTGGTATGAACTACACTTCTCTAACCTCTTACCCCTTCTTTAGGGAATTACTAATTAAGCAGGTGCTTTGTAAACCTTGTGCATCATTACGTGGAGCCGATATCCAGGTAACGAACTGCAGAAGAAGATGGTAAAGCACTTCACTAGCTGAACGAAGCTAGTGGGACACCCGACTTCAACAGCCTTGCAAGTCAGCCACAGAAGCATTTTCTCCTGTTGCTAAGAAATTTAACACTTTTCAGACTAAACCAGCCAATATTTAGATGTGAGGCACAGGTGGATTTTCCGCACTAGAGGACTCACGGCTTTACGTTTCTGCGTGCAGCCTTACAACGTACGGCCCTCAGGTCCTTCACTGCAGCGACCCAGAGACTCAGCAAGACATTTTAGCCTAGAAAATATTTCGTTACTCATCTCCTGAGCCACCACTGTGCAGTTTGCTGCTTACAACTCACGGCTTTTCCCTGATGGGCAGCTGGAGGAGGCAGTGGAGGCCGGTGCAGAATCAGAGGGTGCCCGTACCCAGGTTCCAATGTCCATAGCTGGACCTCAGCTTTTGAGGGAACCTCGCCGTGCCCGGTAGCGACAAAAGGAGACTGCACGCTGTCCTTGGGGAGATCCAGGGCAGACACGACAACACGGGTCAATGCAGCAGAAGGGCCCTCGGATACGTGTTCTGCACATTTCTTTTTATCCCCTCCACTGTGCTCCGCTCCACGTATCTCACTGGCACTAGATGATCTTTGTAGGTCCCTTCCAATTGAACTGTTCAATTCTATTAACGCTCAAATCAGCTATACAAGCCACCCCAAAACAGTACCAAACACACGCCTCCAGAAACTCAAGAAGATAGATTCAATACACCAAAATACATTCAAACAGAGCACTTGGAAAACTTGAAATAACCTTGTGCTGCTCGTTGACATTGTAATTTGTTTCACGAAACTGTGCAACTACACCCGTAATTTTTGAAAACACGTTCTGGGTTTTCCAGTCTGAAACCACTAGTCCAAATCAGATGCGGTGCTTGAATTACTGGGTAGAAAAAAGTAGATATGGCTTATTGCTGATCAGTAAGCTGACTTCAAGCTGGTTTGCAGAAGGTAGCAGGAGCCACTCTTTGCTCATAGAGAGTGAAACTTGGGTATCCATACCTCTGCCTTTCGTCCTCTGAATGTTACAATTCTCAAATTAGCACTTTTTATACGCCTGCAAGCTTAAAATAGTGCCTGCCTCATGAAATGCTGCCTCATCTTCTTCCCTGTTTCTGTAGGCTCTGGGAAAAGGCTCTCGGCCTCAAGTGCTTTCAGGTGGTCTTATTCAAAGAACGGCAAAACCGTGAAGAAATTCATACAGTAATGGAGAGGCCACGTGCATTCCCCAAGACACCAAACAAACAGGCAAAAGCGTTACAGAGGGAAAAATTTACGCTCTGGTACAGCAGCTACAGCACTGCACCAGAAATCCTGGGGCACACACAGTGTCGTGGTGATGAGCACGGAGCTGGATACCCAAGCCTTGGCTCCCGCAGAAGAAGGGTCACCTTCATCACAGGGCATGTTCAGAGAGCCACACGTGTCCACAGACTTCATCAGCAAGGAAAAAAATCGAGCGGCAAGGGCTGGCTGGTACAAGATTCAGCTTGGAGCATGGCAATTGCTTCCATGCAACCCTGAGACCAGCACGCTTCTCCTGAGCTAGAAACCTGAAGGTGGATGGGGCTCCCACTGTCAGGCACAACAAAGCTCCTTGAACCCAGGAGTACAACCCCACAGCCTGGTAAAGCATCACCCGTACTAGAAAACTGCCAGCTCTGAAGTCATACACAAACCAAATGCAGATTACCCTGAAAAGAGAATTTGCTTCACGATTAAACTAACCCATTAGCTATGGCATACCACGTTTTTTAAACTTCCCAGAACGGTAAGGTATGGGATGGGTTCTTAAATGGTTGCTTTATGTGTCTCTGGTCAAAATTACCAGTCTTTATAGTCCCGTTTTGTGGCTTTAATAGCATATTTTTGGTTTATAAGTAACACGCCACATACAGAAACAATGTTTGATTTACTGAGATCCAGCCTAAAAAAACAACCCAACGTCCCAGCATTTTATTTTAACGGCATCCAAAAATACCAAAGTAACTGAAGCGCAACGGACAATGCAAATCAATATTTTAAGTACTATTAACAAATATATCAGATGCACAGAACGAAGGCCATATTGCCAAGTGGGAAGAGCAACTGGATAAAAATTAACCTACCAATGAAAGCATAGAATTTACTGCCTCGTCTTTGGCACCAAAATACCATTTAAGGGTATTACCCTTAATGATTCATGTCAGACTAGTAAGATGATGTTGGCTTACAGTCACGTAAATCAGCAGAGCTATGTCGACTTCTTCTGATACACTCCTTTTTTCCAAAACCTGAAGACATGCCAAAGCTAATCTTGTTTTGCTCTTGTAATTTATTTCGTTAGAAATAAGTCTCAGCAAGACCACAACTTATTCTACAGCATTGGGTGCTACTTCCTTTTTCTAGATATGCACGTTATACAAGGACAAATACTACTTTAAAGCGTTACTTACAGATTGCCAAGCAAGAGACTCCATAATTCGATGTTCACAGCGTTCTAGATGCTTTATCATTTCCCTTGTTAGGCTTGGCTCCGCTTTAATAAAGCTTTCAATCACCTTGTAGAAGTCAAAAGCTTTTAAATCAAATACATTGAGAATCCATGGGAAAGACAAGTCTGTTTCAGCACTGGTACCATCACTTTGTGAAGCACTTCCTGCAGGGAAGATGGACTAATATTATCAAGAGTACTACATCCTTTCACTTCTGACGTTTTTTCCTATTTATTGAATCATTGCTAGTTCAGAAATTTCTGAGAGCACTTTTTTTTTTTGCTATTTACTGTATTTTATGTATTAGAACAAATGGCAATAATTATCAATAAATAACAATGCTATTTAGCACTTTAGATTCAACTTACTGCCATATGTAGCCATGACAACCTCAAGAGCACATGCCAGAAGAGACGTGTGGAAGATGTTATCATTCAGAAGTTTGCTAAGGAAAAAGAAAGTTATTAATACTTGTCCTAACACAAAAATAGCGGATTTTGATAACAAGTTAGGGGCACGTACCTGAAATTCTGCACTGAGAGGCGCTCTTCCTCCTGAAATATATAAATCAAACTTGTGAATATTCTTAGTATTTGTAAATGCAATGCCTGTACTAAGCTACCAGTACTAAACTTACCGACTTCAGCATAGACTCCATTACTCTGTAATACAGACGTACTCCAAGCTTATATCTCTGTTAAAAAAGAAGAAATTCAAGAATATTGCAGGAAGTTTTAACAGACTCCAACAGGCAGACTCTCATGTTTTAATGATTCAGGACATTTCCCTTTTTTTTGGAAGAGCTACCATAAAGAAGTCATTGTCCCCAGCTCCATTTGCCAATAGCACTGGAGACGCCTCAAAGACTACTCGGGTTTGTGCCTACCCCAACCACATGAAGACTGATTAATCAAATTTATGTCGATTAACAGCTAACAGGATAAAAACCAGTGCTGACAGAAAGGAGACTGCCGAGTACAAACTTGGTTGGATTTGCTTTCCAGAATCCTTGTACAACACAGCTGGCCTACTGATTTTATAAGGAAATGAGTCACCTAGTGCCGTTTTAGGCTAAGTTACATTAATGAATGCAAATATATGTTTTATTAAATGTACTTTGCCCATCAATTTTCCCATTCTCCATGAAAGTATTTCCACCATATTTCCACCTAGTTCCTATTGCTCCTTATATATTAAGAATAATTTGTTGAATACTATCTTTACAGAGCTTTAGAAAAAAATACATGCCCATTCCTCAAGTTGAAAAGAATATTATTACTTTTACCATTATTGATCTGCGCCGAAGGAGGACAGCCAATAAGTCAGGTCTCACGTTAGCTAGTACCAACAGAGTTCAAATGAGTAATACTCATCCAAAATGCTAGTTACCTGTGAGCCAATTTCAGCACATCCCTGTCCAACTGCTTCAGCAAATTTCATTTTGAAGATGTGGCCAAGGCTTTCCACTCTTTTCAGGATACTATCCTTGGGGTTCACTGTGCAATTCTAATAAAGTACAGGAAGGAGGGCAGAGGAAGGAAAAGCAAGGAAAGGACATTTTACTTCAAAAACATTTTAATGATTTAATCACATTAGTCCTGTTTCACTTTGTAACATTTCTCAATCAGCTTATTAGCATAAATAAAAGTGGAGTATTTCAAAAAAGATAGGATCATTGTATATGTTCAACAATTTCTAGTAACTACAACATCATGTCTCACGTGCAACTAACCCAATATGTGAGTAGTACCACTGACATTAAGGTCTTCAAAATTAGAAATATGCTTAAGCTGCTCAATGTGGACACAAGAGAGTCTCTGTGAGTACATCCTCCTTCTCTTCTTTGTCCTCCTTTTATAGCCCCTTCTTTTTTCCATCTGATACACACATAAATAAACCTTAATATTTACTGCAGTAACAAAAAGATTTAAGAACTCATAAGGTTCCAGTACACATCAATTAGATAGAAGTGCTTTCTAAAATGATTAATTACATTTAAACCATCCCAATTAAAATGTAATTCTTCAAAAATGGTTAATAAAGGAGTTCCCAAAACATGTGTGTCAGATCTCTATGTGTACATTTTACTTGAGTGATAATTCCAAGAATCTTTCACAAATCTTCCTTCTAGTCACTTACATTGAAATACCTGATGAGAGTATCTGATGGTTTATCAGTTGCTGAGTTTAAAATCATAATCAATTGCTGAATGTTATTCATTGCAGCTCTGGAAAAATACAATAAAATGCATAATAAACATTAAGGTTGGCTTGACAGTTTCCAGAAACTGAACGGCAATTCTACAAACAAAAAAAGAAAAAAAAAATTATTTTAGTTCTTAACTCAGTTACCAAACAACCTGCTGAGAAGAACTGCTGTACTGTGTTAACCATTATGAATTGTAATAATCTAATTCATCTAATCATCTAATTATTAGAATGATTACAATCCATAAGTAAACAACCAAAAGAACATAAATTAAGTAATAAACACTAACAAGCACTTTTAAAAAGCAATACAATGGTGGAATTGCAATCCTTGTATGTGAAAATAGTTAAATCGATCAACTCCCAAACAAAAAAACAGTTTGGCTTTTGTACAAAAATAATACAAGACTGGTGAAAGACAACAGCTTTTATGTTTCAAGTCACCTGTTCACAAGTGTAATAAGTAAGATGTGTTAAAATACAGCAGTCACAAGAAAATACAGCCTTTTTAACATAGGTGCTTTGAAAACCCCACATTTTTCAGAGGCAGAGTTGTCAGCTTTCCTATTGGCAATGGCATGAGAACACAGAGTCTTCTCCCTCCCTGGATCTGCACCCTAAAGTCACATTAAAACTTAAATTCTTGCTTTAACTCAAATTCCTTCTATTTCCAATAGAAAGGCTACAATTTCTGTAATCCATATTCTACCTGCTGTATCCATAGCTAGGTCAGAAGGATCTTAAATATAAAATCTTCTTAACTTCTAAAGTATTATGGGTGGGGAAAAGGATGTGGACATTAAAGAAATTTTTCAGTGTTTGCAAGAAATACAAACAATATCTTCTTAAAAAAGTAGAACAAAAATTCTTTATTGTCTAGATGAAACGTAGATGAAAAATATGAATAACACTTTATTAACTTGGGACCAGTGCTGTTTAATATCTTCATCAAGGACACAGTGGGATCGAGTGCACCCTCAGCAAGTTTGCAGGTGACTCTGAGCCGAGCGGTTCGGTCGACAGGCTGGAGGGACGGGATGCCATCCAGAGGGTCCTGGACGAGGTCGAGACGTGGGCCCGTGTGAACCTCAGGAGGTTCAACAGGGCCAAGTGCAGGGTCCTGCGCCTGGGTCGGGGCAACCCCCGGTATCACAAATACTAGATGACTTTTAAAGGTCCCTTCCGACCCAAACTATTCTGTGATTCTGTGAACTTGGATATAGTGAAGTATTGAAATATGCCTCCATGTACAATCTTACTGGCATTATTTTACAGGTACAGAGTAAAGAAAAAAAAACCCAAAACACACTGACATCAAAACTATTCCTATCTCTACTTAATGCCTACAATTTTCTTGCTAAAAACAGATTAAAAACCACAAGTAATGTCCATTGATTCATATCCAATGTCTTAACATAGAAAACTACAAAAGCTAACAGAAGTAATGGCAGTATTTCAGAAAAGCTGTAATAATTTAAAGAATAAAGAATATTCTTAGAACAAGCGCATAATATCCTGTTGTTTATTCCGCAAAGTTAAATGCCTTGTTAGGGTGAGTGTACATCTCTCTGAAGAATGCATTTTTCAGTTTCTCTTCTAGAACTTAAATCCTGATGACAAAACGTGTTTCATGACTTTCAGGGAGATCATTAAGGCAACAGAGCATGGCCTCTTCCCAAATAGCATACATTATCCAGGAGGTGACTGAAATATCTATAAGTGGGAAAATAACAATGATAATGATCTTGTCATACGGGACAAGAAGGTACGTGCATGAGCTAGCATCTAAACAGCTCACATTTCCAGCTTTTAGGGATATCATGTATTGTTCTGCCTTTATTACTTGCACATATATACAGAACTAATAATATATCCAGTACGTCCATAAGTACTAGTGTGGCCTGGCTTTTTTTAAAACTTATTTCAAGTTGTGTATTAAGCAATGCATTAAGTTTCTATTCTTTTAGAAAGGTTAGTGTATTAATTTCTCTCCTAACATCTAAGAAATTGTTACTTTCTGAATTTTTCCTTGTGGTTTTTTGTGGGGTTTGTTATTTGCTTTAGATTTCTGTGCTATTTAACCTCAATTTGGCTCACATCGCTCAGAAAATAAGTGGAGAAGGAAGAAAAATATGTTCAATTATTACAACTGTAGTAGTGCAAAGATGCATTTTTCTTTAATCTCCTTTTTAGAAGGTTTTGGTAAAATCACTTCTACCAAAACTCTACTAGTGATAAGGAAAAGCATAAGGAGAGTGGAAAACACTAAAATGAAAACACAATCCATTCTCATTACACTCTGAACTAGTACTTACACTCATTTAATCTACTGCTTTCTATATAAACGACCAGATACAAATCCTCTGATGAAAATTATTAGATTCTCAACACTTTCAGGGGGCTTTAGAGCAGATCCTAAGTGTCTAGGTCCAGAAAAAAGACATTATAAGAAGATTCGAAGCAATAAGCATGGTGATTTCAACATAACCTGTAAGGGGTTCTACTTAATGCAGGGATTGTTAATGATACACTTTCCACTCTGTGCTGGTGACCAAAGGTTTACTGCCACTGCCATCTAGTGACAGTTCTGTGGCTTTATGGAAAACAGTTTGCTACACCCTTCATTTGAACTGTCGTAAACGGCATCAGTTTTAGAAAACTCAGAGAAAAGCCCAAGTGTGGATGGAGAGAATCTAAACATCTCATTAGACCTCCTCTCGGGATCAGAGGTGATTTAGCACATTTCAAATTTTTAGCAATGCGGAAACTTGGTGCTCCTGAATTTTCTTAGTAAGACTTACGTGTCAAGAACTTCAATGAAGAAACTGTCAGTGTTAGAGGGCTTTTTTAAATGCTAGTATAACTGAAAACTGTTAATAACAAGCTATCTATATTTGTAAAAAATGGGATTTGTTGTCAATAACCTTCTTGTTAAATACACTGCACATTATAGATGGTCCAGTTCCTGATATGGCACATTCAGGCTGGGAACTGAAAGGGAAACTGACACCTTTATGGCTAAAAAGCATCACTGGCAGCTAAAGATTTGAAGCATAAGACTAAAAGGGACCACTAAGGCAATCAAATAAAACCTTTTGTAGTCACAGGCGATTAAAAGTTCTTTCATATACTGATCAATATCTCTTCCAGCTGCATGTCTCCTTTTATTATTTTTATGAAGAAGCTTTTCAGAACCTTTTTGCTCTGCTGGCTAGAAAACAATTAGTTTCTGCAGGTGGCATTTTGTAGATTTATAGTGGATGCACAAGCCTACAAGCATATAACACTGTAGAAGTATTTTTGATTAAAAAAAAAATAATTTTACTCTTTTGAGAAAACTGAAGTAACAATTAAGGGTACAATATTTTCACTTATCTCTACAGCATGCTAAAATGAAAGGCATTTATACAGCAAGCATGGAACAAGAACTTCACTGTCCAATTTTATTAAACCTGAGACCTTAAGAATGACTGCCTGCACAAACACTTCTGTTTGTCCACACAGCACATGGCATTGCAGTGACACAGCTGGTTGGTTCTTAAGTGTCCAGAAATTTCTAAGCACCATTAGGCAAAAACATACTGATTTTGTCAAAAAACTACGTGGCACAAGGGAAAAACGATACATGCAAATCTCCTTTCCTTTGGTTAACTGAATTCAAGCTTGCAGTTTTTCTGCATTTGATTGTAGATGAAACAATCTCCAATTAATACCACATTTCTACCACATCTGTCCATTTTCCTGGTAGACCAAAACATGTTGGCACTCCAAAGTGTTCATCTTCCCAATACAGGAAAAAAAAAAGTTGGTACTCTGAAATGTTAACCTTCCCATACAGAAAAAACCAATACTATGAGGAAAAAGATCATGGGAGAAGAAACGTGTGCATGTACAATTTGGTATCAGGAAAGGAGGCCAGAAGATACAGAGCTAGATTAAAGATGGGAAAGGAAGATGGAAGTATAGCAGACAAAAGTACCGCCATGGAAGTATGAAGTTGTATTCTCACAAGAACAAATACAGTAATTTATTTAACAGACATCTTGCACTTCTTAAGACAAGTCAGTAAAAAGCTTTTTCTCTGTTTTCCAACAACTTCACCAGGAACTGAGGGCGCTAAGCACCCCTCAGCATATGCTCACTGCTCATTAGTGACCACAACTACGGTATGTTTTACGACAAACAAAACAGCTGCTTTAAAATTAAAACAACTACTCTAAAGATGAATATTTCTAGTTCAGATATTACACAAAAGAACACAGTTTAAAAGAAAAACTCATACCGAACGGGAGTCTGTGGAAGTATAACATTAAGTTCCTCATCTGGATTGTTTTTTATTGGTGTCCTCTCCAACTGTGAGCTACAGAAATGGAAAACAAACTTATGAAGTACTAATGTAATTCAAAAAAGAATGCTTTCTATAAAGACTTATTAATCTACAGAAAAATACTGTGGAACAGATTTTTAGAAGATCTAGATGTCCAATCACTCCAGTTGTTGGAACAATGTAATTTACATTGCCAAGTAGATCTTCTTTGAGCATAATGTTGGACTAGACAAACTCCAAAGTTCCCTTCCAACTTCATTATTTCTCTAGAATTTTATTTATAGCCACTTCATTTATATGAAGCTGGTACTAGGTCCATTTTAATCCAATTTTAAACATATGTATTTTTCTAGCATAGATAAAGTCACAGACTCACATCGTGATCTCGCATTAGGTAAAGCTGTGGAATTGCCAGGAACCACTGGAATTCTAGAGTATGACAAAGAATTCAACTACATCTACATTACTGAACAGCACCAGGGAACGTGCCTGGCCACTGGTACTCAACTGTTTATTCTGCTAAACCACCCATGGTGTATTTCTGTCCCATGCACGCTACCGTTCCCCAAACAATGTGTGGCTACAGGTCAGAAGTCAGAATGGCCTGAGGACCATTCCCAGCAGGCAGCTTCCAAATGCCACCAGCCGGTTTTAGGGAGGAGGAGCTGGACAGCGAGGACCCAAGCCATTCTGTGCCAGCTGGCCCCAGAGTAAGAATTAGAGTAGAGCTTCCAAATCATTTTGAGTCACATTCATACATTTTCTAATTTTAATTTAAGCTATAACATAAAGCAAGGGTGGGGTTGCCAGAAACATCTTAGCTGAACTACAAACCTAGGAGATAACCAGGATAAAGAGATCTCCATTTAGAACACACAGCAGGGGGGCAAAGGGAGAAATCAAAACAAGTTCACATTTTCTATTATAAAATGAAAACAGTAAATGGAAATATTACCATGCTATGACATCAGGCTGTAGGGTTTCATCGTGATCCAGAAATAATCTTGCGTCTATATCTTTGTTGTTGTGATAGAGCTCATCATACTGTTTTGAGAGAACCTCAACCTCAAAAAAAAAAAAATTGAAAAAACCCTTTATTTTATAGGAACAAGTTGGACAGTTTACTGAATAATATAAGCTAGTCCTACCTCATGAATACAATGCTGAAATGCTAAGAGAATAACCTTGGAGCTCACAAAGTCTATTCTTATGCAAATAGCTGAAACATACCCAGAGGAAAATTATCGTTCTCATGCACAAAGATAATCTTTTAGAAGAGAAAACAATACAAGATCATGAGACTTTTTTGAAGAAATGTAGGTCCTGACACTGTAAAAGAGCTAAAAATAGCCTGAGTGGGAGACATAGACCTGCAAATCAAACTAATGTTTCCAGCCTTTCAAATCTTCCCTTCCAGAAGACAAAAGTGTCTCTAAGAGCAGGAAATATACCATGAGTGTTCTTAGACACCTGCCAGACAATCCGCTAGGTCCCTGTCTCTGCTGGTTTGGAGATGAAGGCCAAGACCCAAACTCAAACCCTCTTGTTCTGAGTGCAAGAAGAGTTTCCCCATTCCATATTAATATTTGTAGTAGTGTAGTTTTTAAGAGATATGCCTATTTCTACAAAAACATAGACCATTATTTCCTATCTACATTGTTGTTTTTTAAATTACTGTTAAAAGTTCTTAGTTGATTAGATCCCATATTAATATGACTTCATTTTGCATGGAAAAGTTTGTGTTGGTTTTCTGTTGTTTAGTTTGGTTTTGTGTTTTGTTGTTTTTGTTTTTGTTTTTGTTTTGGGGGAGGGTTGTTTGGCTTTTTGTTTGGTTTTGTGTTTTTTTTATTTTGAGTGACTAACTAAGTCAAAGTCTGGAATTTTTTCATTGGGGCCAGATACCAGCCTCAACTTCAAACCTGCTGCTGTGCTCTGGCAGAAGTAGGCAGTTACCTCAATTATCTGTTCCCTGACCCCTTAAACATACTAAATGATGCTGTGCTCTAGCAAACTGCTGCTACAAAAACACGCAACAGTGCATATGAACCCAAATTAGTCTCCTCCCAGCCTCAGGAAAAAGCAAGCTGCAAATAACTCCCATGCAGCTTTGCTCCTCATCCTCTTCTTTTACCTTTGCCAAATTAATTTACTCTAACCTGATCTCATGGTTAAAACTTTTGGAGATTACAACTATTAAAACAAAGATTATCTTTAGATTCCTATTGTCGCTTTATTTGTTTCATTTTAGAAGTTCATTATCTTCCTAATGGCTTATGTGTTCTTTTTGTCTAAAATATTTCAGTATTTCATAAATATCTAGAAACTTCAGATTCTCACTGCAAAAACCAGCAGCTCTTAAATAAAATGGCTGCACTGGGCTAACCGGGAAGAAACCTTCAGCCAAAAAGAAGAGTTCTGAATCAATCTATTCATCAGTTCATAAAACCTGACCATCAAACACACAGTGAAGACAACTGAAATACCAACATTACAAAGCCACAAAAATACCACAAAAAAAAAAAAGCGCCCAAAAGCTTTTCTTGTTTTGGAAACAACGTTAAAATTTATCGAAAGCTCAGTGGTTTTTTTAGGAAAATTAAAGTCAATTTAAATGTCCCATATTACTAGATATTGTACTGATGATCTCAGCTAGGACTGATGGTTAGTTGGATTACATACATGAACTAACTGCCTCTGAAATATAGCTGTAACTTTCTGCTTTGTTTCAGAACGTCCCCTCAGGCACTCAAGTTTCAGAAGCAAGGATCGTGTGACTGGATTTTTCCTCAAATGCATCACTTCATACAATTTTCACCAGCAAGAAATTTCTTAGACCAGTAATTTTGATACTATGCTTAAATTGAGCAGCCTTGGATAAGAACCCTCACTGATCTGAGGATAAGCTGTATAATGACCTTTGCCTAGAAGTTCATACAGGACTTCCCAACTACATATAGCCATAATTTAAAATAAAGTCTAAACACACTGCTGATACCCTGAAATTCATTTTGGAAGAAATTAAGATCTTTAGTGGGTCTTGTATTTTGTCCCCCACCCAACACACTATGAAACCAAACAGAACATACACTTGGGCTGAATCTTGCAGACCTTCAGTCTGATAACCTTCAGAGCTGCTTATTTTCAGGTTACCACATCCATTGGTTTCTCACAGCTAAACCTACTCTTTTAAGAATGATGGATGTAAATACATTGCAAGAAGTTACCTACTAAGGCCGGGCACACTCTTGCATGTGATTGCATAGAGGTAGTCTGCCGCATCCAGGCTACAGCTCAGTAAGATGAAAGTAATTCTGCACGGACACAGCAGTCCAGACTCTGCCAGTGGTGAAACTGAGCCTAATCTTTTGGGTATCTCTCCAACATGACTACAGTAACATGTCTCAATTATATTTAAATTAAGCTGTGTAATTTAAGACTGTATGCACTTATAGACTGACTTCAGAGACTTCATACTGTAATAGTTGTATTTTAGATTAATGGCCTCGCTAAGATCGTGGATATGCAACTTTTACGCCATGTTTTGCTTTGAGCAAAAGCACTGGTTCAGCCTCAGGAAATTAATTTATTAAATTCAAATGTAAAAGCTAAATATACTCCATGAATACTGGAATCCCTGCTAAGCCACATTCCTGAAAAACAATACATTTTGCTAGATGATTTTAGAAGAACCTCTTAGAACTTCATCAGTGCGTAAAGAGATTCATAAGTAATTTGGCATGAAGTAAAGCACTGTTGTTGAACTGTCTTAAATTACCTCTGGTAGTCCATTTGAAGCTACAATACCAATAGAATTCAAGAAAGGAATAAAGCTTGTGAAATACACATTTTTGACCTAAAAAAAAGAAAAAACATAACATTAGCAATATACAGAGGCAGCCATGCATACACTCCTTTCACATCTTTAACAGGAAACTAAATGAGATGTTTCTGTAATGCACTGTGTTTTGTTTTCAAGAAAGCAAAAATGAAATTGTCTACATATCCAAAATGTAGTGATATGTAAGCATGCAACACACAATCCATTCTGGAATATTAAACGACTAAACTGGGAAAGAACGGCACTCTTCCCAGCCCTCTTGTATTTCTACTTCCATCACCTGCTTGGATATTCAAAAAAAAAAAAAAAACAACCAAACCCCAAACCCAGTCCTTTTTAGACAGGAATAGATTTAATAGCGTAGGAAAAGGGGAATGGGATCTTTAAGATCCCACACAGAAGCAATGCGCTTGTTGTGTATGTTTTCTCATCATGGGATGCAGCTGTGAAACCCCATCAGAACAGCCTTGTGTCCACACGCTACACGCCGTGATCAGCGTGTAACTTCGTACTGCATTCTTCATGCTTCAGTTTCCCTGGCGAAGTTATCACCCATACCAAAGGGTTTTGTTGGGGTTTTTAAATTACCTACTAGAGAAACTACAGAATGGTAGAATACCTTCATTACTCCACTTGAGGAAATAGTTAAGCAAGCACAACTATTGAGATTTAAGACGACCATTTAAATAGATGCATATTCCAGATGGGGTTTAGCAGCAAGATCTAACAGACTTTAAAACACAGGCATTACCTCATCTAAATTACAATCATGCTCTTTACAAAGGACTTCAATAACTTTTGTATCGGTATCAATTTGCTTTGAAGTACGTGTATTCCTGTTCTGACCTCTTCTTGGAGTTCGAGCTGAACCATTAACAGTCACTGCAGTCACAGCAGACTCTGGAAAGATAGTCAGAACAACAACAAGGTTAGAGTCTTCTTAAGAAAGAAGAGATTTAAATTTTTAAACCTAAAGAGATTTAAATTCTGTTTTTTCAGGTCCTCTTCTTAAATATTTCCCTTTTCATCTGTTCAGCTGCGTGAAAAAACATCATTACAGAAACATATAAAAAGAAAACTAATTTTTAAATTTCTGCCTCAGTATTTGGACATTTTGCTTTTAAAAAGCTATTCAACACAGAATGTAATAGCACTTTCTGTAAGTAGCTTTGAATAAGCATCTGTTTTGCAAAGCTAAGAAAGCCTTATCTTTTCACAGATGAATAACTATTTTTTCTGTTTTTACAGAAGTGTGAAACAAGGAGCCGAAAGAGTAACTTTACTCTATGTGTCTGAAGGTTAATGAAGTCATAGAAGGCTTAAGTGCTGGTAGGAACCTGGAATATGTTTCTGCAGGGGATTCCTCCTTTCCCCAAATACTTTCAGGCAAAAAAGTACAAAAAAAACTAGTTCACCTCAAAGAAGATATGAAAAAAGACCTTAATTCAGTGAGGTAAACATGTTTCATTTTGTTAAGCTCAAAGTAGGTGGCTTCAATATTGTCAGCTTGAAATACATGAGTTATATTAATAACATACATTAATACCATTAAATATTGTTGGTTTAAAACTGATACTCTAATCAGCATGCTGGTCTCATTTGTAACTTCATTTGTATTTGATAACTGTTCTGAGAAAATCTGAAAAACTACACTGCTTGGGTGGCTGCATCTTAATCCCCTCAGCCTTAGTCAGATCATAAAGCCTGACATCATTTAGCACAATGTGAAGCCTCTTGGTCACGAGGATTTGAACAATGCATTGTGTTATTTCCTAAAAGAATGAAGCGCTGTGTAACAGTTTATACAACACCTGCGTGTATCACACAGCTTCAAGTTAGAAATCAAATGGTTTACACTTAGGACAGTAATACCCATATTTGCAATTTAGCCTGAAACAGCAGCGTTTCTTTTCAAGATACAATCCACAGGACCAAACTGTTTCCAATAATGAGCTCCTACTCTTCATAGTCTCATTAAAAAAAAAATATACATCAGCGTGAACAGAGTTCAAAACCAGGTTGTTTCAATTCAGTGTTCTTGGAAAGAGATGTTCATTTAAGCCAGCTATGGCTTTATAACACCTGAAATAACCAGTAGCATGTATCTATCCTACTACAATCAACAAATTTAAATTCAAAATAGTACTGGAAGAGGGCAGGGATTTGCTTGGCACAAGCCCATCCTTTCCCACCCTTTACTTGCATTGGCATTAGAATAAAAGTGAGTAAGTTTTGGCACAAAAACACAGGTTATTTGTTCTTACCTGCAACAAATAATTACTAGGTCAGATAAATATCTTCCAAAACATGGAATTTAAAGAATATAGCAGGGAATACATCATCTGTTCTATCACACTGTAACACAAGCAGGTATTCAGTTGTGAAACAAAGAACTAAAGCAGTAGATTTAGGCTGTAAATACTAGTCTCACATCCAAACCCAGCAGAGGATAAACCTAGTTAGTATCAAAAAATTGTTTTCGATGTACTGTGGCTCGAAATACTTTAGTATATCAATCCCATAGCTTGCAGAAGAAAACATTGAACAAAAATAGAATTTTGTCTTTCAAAGTTACAGTAAGTGTTTGCTTTCTCTGCCTTTTTGGTGAGGTTTTCCAGGTCTGAGGGATAAAAACTGAAGGTACAAAAAGTTACTGCTGAACAGAAGTTTCTATAGTGAAGACCCATTATATTTTTACTTAAAATAAAGAAGAGCCACTAGCTAATAATAAGAGGGATGTAATAAAAGCAAAGCTATCTACATTTTACCTCTACCGTTTTATTTTGAGCTACCACTGCAATTAGGTTGTCGATCCAACGTATATTTCTTTTAAATGTCTGTATAGTCCAGTATCTTGTACATTTCTGTTGTCATCATAGTGTTGTATGTCAAAGAAATAACTGAGTCAGAGCACCATCTTTTCCTTTTGCAAGTCAAAGCAAACCTAAATTAATAGTTCTCAGTCATCATCTACCCAGAACCTAAATTCTTTTACCAAAGTAAAACTGCTGTTTTAACAAGCCCCTGAACAACTTGTATGGGCAGAGGACATAGCAAATGGGTCGTAGGAAAAAAAAAAAAAAAGAAAAAAAAAAAGAATTATATTAAATACACTGCCACATTCAGATTATTTCATTCAAGTTCACTATCATCCAAATTCAACTAAAACATCAAAAAAATCCATTTTAATAAGTTTAAGAAGTTTTATTATGTTAATTATGAACGTTAGCATGACTACTAGAAATTTAAACCAATTTACTTTCTACTTTAGTGAACAAAAATACTAAAATCCTTACTGTATGGTTCCTTGAGCATAGCAGGAGGTGACAGTTTGATAAAATAATCTAAGACACACAGCAACAACTGGAAAGAAATCACCAGGTCATCTTCCACTTGCAACACTTTACCTGCAAACGTTTAAAAAGGTAAAGAAAACCTTTGTGAGATGTTTGACATAGTTTTGGAAGTAATTTTGAAAAAATAAAGACTTGGAAGTTCATTTAATAAAACACGACAACTAGAATCCAGAAAGCATCAGACAGGATGCTAGTGTTCTTTAAAGGCTATTATTTTAAAACTCGCAGTTCTTAAGACGTTTGTTGCTTTAGAGATAGCATACGTATAAATAAGTTTACTCTGCACAAAAGTCTGACATCTCAGTGCTCCTTCCTGATTTCTTTTTCATTTTACTACAGTGGAGTAACTGTGTAGACTGTTTTACCTACATGAACCTCTTCTTTCTGTGCAATTCTTCCTCACTTTCTTTTCTGTGGTCTCACACAAGCTTTGTGAAAGCTGCTAAGTATTCAGAAAGCAGGAGTTGCTGGTATATAGCGAAGAGAAATTCAAAACATGCTATCACACTGTGTGCTCAGCCTGTCAAATTTAATTTATATGAAATGACTTAAAAGTTACACAAATATTAGCACTAAGAGCACTTTTAAAACTACATTATTCCAGCTGTTCCCAAATTATGATTCATATGCCAGAGAAGACTGACAGCCATTCCAAGATGGCAGGCATCGCCACGAAAAATTGGGAAAGCCGAGAACGATTCAAAACAGCTACAGACCACTACTTATGTTCTATTTACATGTGCAATTTTTGTACTATTTTCTATCATAATCAGCAAGCATCACCCAGGCTCTCCTGTGGCTTCAACTATTTGCTGGTCAATTTTGCTTTCCTTATTCTCAATGAAAAGGCAGGCTAGAAAAACTTCGTGGGTTTTGCTTTATGCTTATGCTGCTTGGAGAATTCTCGTGAAAAAGCTCCACAAAACTCAGCAGATCCAAGACCAGTTTCGATGGCAGAGATGTGTACACTTCACTGATAACAGACCTGGAGTAAGCAGCAATTAAGATACATGATTCATTCCTTTTTGTAGGAGTAGTACATTTGTAGTGTCATTGACAGGACTGCATGGACTACTCTAATTGTTTCATCACTCAGCTTTAACTGGAACTTCTGCCTTTTCAAGGAAGAATCATAGCATTCAAAGGACAATTTCAGGGACTTATCTTATAATTAAATTTATTTTATTCATTTATGTATTTCATATATATTTACAATATATATAAGCCTATTTAAAAAAAATCTGCCAGTCTTTCGAGGTAAGCATCCATTATTAAAATACTGGCAGACTATAAAGCACCTCAGAATAGACTCAAAGAGAGAATACCAACCTTTAAAGTAAGAAAATCTTAGCAAGTTTAAGAGTATAAATATTTACATACAGGAAGTAATACCATTAAAAGAGTAGCCAAATTGCATAAAAAGGAGTATTACTGAGTAGTTAAAAAAGCCACACAATCAAAACATTCTGGCCCTGTACTATGCGTATTTGTAATGCGGATGCTAGTCTCATACTGGACATGTAAAACAAAGCCATAAACTCACTTCAACACTATTCATTAAAATAACTGTCTTTTAACCAAAACCCACCTTTTGCCAGCAAAAAAGTAATCCAGTAATTTTTTAGGACTAATACAGAACTGAGTTCAGCAGAAATCCTGTAGAGACACAAAAATAAAGACTTTGCATTAACAGCTCTGTAATAATTTAAGCCATAATTTCTGAAAACGTGCTTCAGTCTATAGAACAATTTAAGACAACATGCAACATTTCCCATATAGTTTATTAGCAATCTCATTCCATTCCCTACATAATTATGACTACACATTTAAAAAAAAAAATTAAGTCTCTGTAAAGCCATTCAAGCATCAGGAAATATCTGTATTGCCCTCAGAAAAGAAAGTGAATGTAGATAATTCACTTAACTGTTACAAGCTGTTTTCTCTCTTGTGCCTTTGACTAATGCCCTATTCTCCAGTCACAGCATGAACTCAAGCTCATTTGGGAGTTGCTAAGGCATCTTTTCATCCACTCATTTGTTGTTACTCTCCAAATGTTCGTTTCCACCATGCTGAGACACCCGCCATCGGGTGGTGATCCTTCATGGAGGAACTGATCAAATACATATCACTTCTGCGGCTCTCATCATCTCACTAAAATTCAAAGTCCCCACTAAATCTAAATTAAACACATGACATACTATGACTTAGGTCAATCTTAATGGGTTAAAAGATAAAATGCTGGCACGTTTTACATCTTATCTTGACAAACGCAATTTAGGAAAATCAAACTTACTCACTACTAGGTTGTTCCAGATAAATAAGGCCACAAGTCCTAGAAAATAAAAATAAATTCTTATTTTTAAACACTTTTCTGAAAACAAACCATGCGATATCTTTGACTTGAATGTAGTAAAAAACATGCCAGTTCACAAAACATTATTCTAACTTTAAACAAACGCTGACTCTTGGAGAACAGATTAACAACACACCAACTACAGCCCTGCCAGAGCTGAAACAATGCTGTTGCTTGCATGCTTATGTCAAAGCTTAAACAGCAAAACAATTTTAATTTGGTATAACAACATCTGTTATTGTTTTCTTCCAGAAAAAGATTTGTATGTACGTTGTTACTCAGTGGCTTGTAAAACACAGCAAAGTATGTGCTACAGCTGCACAGAACACTCTACAAAAGGGCATTTTAAAACCTTTACTATTTCTGCAGTGTCACTGCAAGCCTTGTGGCGTAATGTTGCTTCCTAATTTTTCTAAGTACATGTCATTCCAAGAAATAAATTCAGTTTATTCAAAAACAAAACAAAAAATCTTTCAAATCCTGTTTGAAAAAGATTGTTACTGCAATTCAAGTTTCAAAAAAGTAAGCAAGTGAAGAAGAGTTAGAGGAGGGACAAAAACGAAAACATGCCTGTGTAAATCTGCAATGACACTTTTATAGCCCAGAAAAGCCTTGCAATTAGTAAAAACAAATTATTTACAACTTTCATAGAACTTCATACCTTTAAGGCAACTATAAACTTTACAAAAATATTGTGATATACACGTTACCCAGGATAACAGTAAGTGTGATCGATTGGACTTTGAAAAGACAAATAAAACTTAAATCACATTTATGCCTTGATTATATAAACTACCAAGGGGTGACCTGCTACCCCTTTCAAGGGTCATTTAAGGGATATTGGAGAGCCTTTTGTGGTCTGGGAGGCAAAACATTACAGTGGCTCAGATTCCTGTAGATGAAAATACCAGTGTTCTGAAGCAACGGTATCAAATAATACAAGTAACATGGAATGATGCTTCAATGTTTAATAACATGAAACAGTTTTCTACTGATATATGCTACAGAGAATTTCACAGATGGATTACAAATTGCCGCAGAGGATATCAGATCTTGCCAATATGCATCTGTGCTAGCACATTCTAGCCTGTAAAAGCATCAAAAACCTTTATCATCTCTGTCTTCATGTTAAAGCATAAAGTGCAGCAGCTTACCACCTTGGAGTAACGGCAACTCAAAACAGCATCCATTTGAGAATCTCCTGATTTTCAAGTTACATACAGAAAGCTCTCGGCACTCTGCCATAAGCACACTCAACTTATTCTGTACAAAGAGAATGCCCCTCGATTTTCATTCTATGGTCAGCTAAACCACTTGGGAAGGTTCACCTTGATTACAAGTGAGAATTGCTAATAGAGCAGGCTCTGCAATGCCCCTAGGCACGGGAACAAACAGCCTTCAGTTCCAGATCCGGGATAGCGAAACTATCTTATTTGTGCTTTTTTTCCTTTCCAGAGTTCCTGAGAAAGAACCTCTTGGATGAGGATTTGGGATGGGGTGTGCAGGTAGAAATGGAAAGTCCATTAAATAAAAAATATTAGATAGTAAAACAATCCTCTTTATATCTGTAAAAAGCTTAATGAAGGGACTAGCAACCATTTGTCATGCTACTCTTACTATTGTTTGTACTGCAACAAGGGGATTGTTTAACAAAGCATTGTAATAGTTACGGAGTAAAATGTAAGATGTGTTTATTCAATGCACGTATACAGTTCCATTTCACTGTTCTGTAAATATTAGCGCACAGAGTTTAAATGGGCTCTTCTAACATACAGTTTGAAAAATCTAAATACTTAAATGTTGACAGCCATAAAGAATTAATAATTTCAAATGAAAAACCTACATTACCTTTCAAACTTGTGGTATAGTGCAAGTAATACATCATATTTCTTTTTCAGCCTCGATACAGTGCTATCAACTTTAGTGCTTACAGTATCCATGTTAACATCCACCTCTTTCAGAAACTGAAAAAATGTGCATACACTGAAAAAAAGGAAAAGGATGACAGGTTATCATAACTCTGAGAATGAGTATTTTGAAACAGCTCTTAAAAAAAAAAAAAAAACCACAAAACAACAAATAACCCCACCAAACCCCATTGCCTTACTTCACTACAGTATTCTTACTACAACTAGCAGTGACTGAGAACCTTGACTTGGAAAAACTACTTGTTTACCTCAAGCCCCACCTTTACACTTTCCAGATGTAGGAATACTGTTCAACTGGGTAGCAGAGGCATCTCACAATATGGGCTCTACTACAGAAAGAGAATTTTCTTGGCTAGCACTATCTTTGGAAGTCAGAATTTGCGAACTAGACACATCTTTCTTCTGTGCTCTGCCAGTAAAACCACAAATAATCAACACAGACATCTCGACTCTTCTGTTCTACCTAAAAGTTCTACTTTAGAAATGTTCTTCCTACCCTAAGAACACAAACCTTGGCTCCATCCATGCTAAAGAGAGACCTAGGAATGAAAACTGAGATGAATGCATTGAATTATATGGAATTTCAGGTCTTGCAACAGCTATTGGGGGCAAGGACATGCCCACCCTTTAGAAATATTATTACACAGGGGACCAAAGTTTTCCCTACTCATCCGTGTAATATTATGGCCATCAAGAAAGCATCTTGTTGTTATGTTCATAAGCAAAATGAGCAGATTGCTAAAAATTAATGAGGAGGAAGCTATCAACTATATTCAGCTATTTCAACTGTATCAAATATATTTTGATCCTTTATCAGAATATAGTATTCTGAAATACTTTCTGATCCTTGTCAGATTAAAAAACAGAATACAAAAGCAGTCAGAAGTTCATTTAGGAATTCTTCTACCATGGAATGAAAAATGTTTCCAATATACCTGTGTGGCTCTCGAGGATAAGATGACTGGTAGAAATCTCTGCCAGTTTGACCTTATAGCTGACAAAAAGCCCAGGGCTAACAAGCAATTGAGTATTGCTAAAATCAAAATCAGCAGAGTAATAGCTTACTCTTTGAAACCCAAAGGGAAAAAGTGTCTTTCAGTTTGCAGCACAAGTTGGTCGGTACTCAGGTGGAACACGCTGAACGTTGCTGCACAAATGCAATTGGATTTCATCCACGCGGTTCCAAGTCAATCAAGACTAAAGAGATTAAGTCGAAACACAGGACCTGACCGCTACTCTGGGACATGATGCAAGGTAGAAGAGGCATGAAGAAGTGCAGTCAAAACAGACGACTTCCAGGAAAAAGGATATTCTGGGGCTACGGCCATGACGTGCCCAGCATCCTGCCTTAGCCTCCTGCTCTAGAGCACTGAAAGGCACACGCTTTCGACACACAGCACAGTTATTAGGCAGATGGCACTGGAATTCTTTTTTAGATGAATCCAACACAAGGTATGCCTATTGCTGCTGCCACCTACATTTACCTTAAAAGCAGATATTGTCCTATAATCTTAACTTCTGTATTATGAACTTAGCGAATATACAATATAACAGTAACAATCCCTTAGCAAAAAGCACGTGCAAAAGTACAACATCTAGACTGCCATTAAAATGTTTGAAAAAGAGCAGCCTGCTGGCAAACTATTGGAAGAGGAACATTTTTTTCCACTTCTTGATTTAGCCCAGGCCTAATGTTGGAAAAAAGGTTTTATAGAAAAATCTTCATACAGGGAAAGAAAGGAAAATATTTTAAGTGTAATTTACACCAACTTACATTGATGAAGACTTTAGGTTGAGAAAGAACAAGAATCAGCTGTGTGATACAATCAAAGCCAATCACAGTCGAATCAAACAAGTATCATTGCTCCCTCAGCTAAAATACAATAGCAAGACTCCTAGTTTACAGAAATATTGAGAATTCCCATAAGTAGCCTTCACTTTAAAATCAGCTAGCCTGATATGTAAAGATTCACAATGCTTTAACAACATTCTCTTTTAAAAAATGTTGACTAGTTAATTATTGAAATCTAAACTCACACGCTTCAATTCACTTACCTTATGCTTATACTTTTCAGAAGCTCTGTGAAAGTGAATGTCATTTCATCCAGATCAATTGCTACAATAAAGATACAGACTCCCCATGTTTCCTTTTTCTTTTTGTTATAAGCCTTTTAGAAAAAGAGAAAACAGGTTTTATTTTTATTATGCAATAAAAGTGGGTAATAGATGGAAAGCATTAATTTGTCCAAACTAGATTAGAAACAGTAAAACAAAACACCCTCAAGCAAACATTTGACTATGATAGCCAATTATTTGATAACTGAAAACCATTACAAGTTTTATGTTACAAATGAAAGACCAAACACTTCAAACTCTAGGAATAAGAGTGCAAGATCAATTTTACCCATACAATTCAGCAAAGCCTCAAAATAGCTTTGGTTCCACGGAACGTTTATGCGAAGCAGAAGCCATGTTGTGGGGTTTTTTTAAAGTTACTATATTTGACCATAACAAGACACTGAAGGTTAAGGAATCAGGGGAGAAGCCAGAAGAACGAAATATAAAATCCTTACAAGGACAGGCAATAAATACTCATGAACTTTATTCTCCAGCTAGGTCTCAACCACTTATCAGAGCTGAACCATAAACCCATCTCTTTGTTTAGCAAACCATGATAGGAACAAGCACCTTTGGGCATTTTCCTACCATACATCTACACTTAAGGTCTGTCTTCTGCTGCTCAGGAGTAAGGTACGACCTGTAACCGATCATCCTTCGCCAAGAAAAAGTCATCCCGCAATGACACACGTGCCACCCACGCGGAGTTCACCCTTGACAGTTCACAACCAAGTCTCTTGGAGCCGGCCAGGCATCAGTTACAACTCTGGTACCCCTCCACCAAAACAGCATCTCAAGGGAAAACCTCTAAAGAGTGATGTTTTGTAAAAGCACGGAAGAAAAAAAAAAACAAAAAAAACAAAAAAACACTTAAGCAGGTATACCACAGGTTTTGGAAACAAAGCTATTTTGAAGACAGAACTAGGTGTGGGTGCTGCCCTGCAAGACCCCTAAACCAGCAAACTCATAAAATACTCTCTGGATATTTGGCATCCTTGTAAAGAAACCTCCACCACCACCCAGGCCCACGGCCGCAGTCTGTCAAAATTTTTTTATTTTTTTTTTTTGCAATTGCTCTGCTTCTTTCTTGGGACCAGTGTTTATACCTTCACGAAGACTGGCTAGGGCCTCCTCCAAAGAAAAGTTTCATTGGTTTGTGCAATTGATAAGAGTTATAGTACAGGCTTGAATGCTAAAGTAACCAGACACCTTCAACAACATGGTAACTGTCCATTATTTATGTTACTACTTTCTTTCTGCATTGCTATTTGAGTGCTTCTACAAATCATGACACCTTGTACAACAGAAAATTATTTTGAAAGAAGCTATTAACAGACTGAGATGCATTTGATGATACATAAAGGAACGGATATTAATATCAAGTAGTCACTGTCTCTTTTTATTGGAAACCCTCAGTTTTTAGATGTTTTCTGTACCATTGTATACCACCAGCAACCTAAAGGTGAGGCAAATAATTGCTCTCAAGGGAGTTTTGCACAGAAGAAAGGCTTTGCCAAGAGATGCACTCCCACCGTCTCAACAATCCTTTGCTGACAGGTACAACAAGCTACCAGGCACACAAGAACAAAAACGTCCTGTAGGATGGGGATGTCTGTTTTCCTGCATTCATCTGTCTGTGATGCATTGTAAAGAATTTTGAAGGTTAAGGCTAGCTAGTGAGCTACCAAGAAGAAGGAGGACTACTCGCTTACCGAGGACACCACTGCCACTGGAGTCGGCTGACCTTGTTTCATAAGTAAGTTCCCTTCACTTCATGCTCCTGCAAATTCGCACCATGACGTTGTTCTGTAAATGCAACATCTCGTAGGGCAGGAGGACCGAGTGCTGGAAAGTGGTGAAATCATTCCTGGTTTGCTGCCTACCCAAACAAGCCCAGCTCTCCTAGGCAGCTTAGCTCTACCCTGGGAGGATGAATGCTTGAAGGCTACAGCAATGGTTTAACTGGTAAGAACGAGGTCTGGTTTTGCAAGAACAATCTTTAAACTCCTTACCCAGCATGGTTTGGAGTTACAACTCATTTATTTCTACCATTAAACAAGACAGCAGCCTGTCAATCCACTAGATTCAAACCATTACGGTGAGTCAAACTCTAATATCAGGACTAACTCCACATCCACTGCTAGCGTTACAGGATGTGTTGGGCGCCTTCTCAACCAGACAGAAGATGTTGGATGACTGCTGGCCTAACACAAAAGTTACACAGAACCCAGGATAAACAAATAGATTGTGATTTTTTTCTAGTAGCAAAGAAAAGGTGAGCAGCACCTGAGCATGCCGCCTCTTAACATCAGCTGAGGCAGGGACGGAGGAGAGGAAAACATGAAGAACACCAGGCTGGGACTATCCCACCAGCTACTGCTGGTTAAAACACCCAAAGACACAGGTCAAATGCGGTTTCCTCGGAAAATAAGACTATCTGCCCATACCCATGCATGAAGATTTTAGTGACTTTAACACATAAAATATAAACATCACGGGGTAGGAGAAGAGAAGAGTTAAGAAGAGGTCTTCCTGACAAGTCAGACTCCTCTTCATACCCCTTCTCTCCCAAAGCTCACAAACAGTTTTCAAGTTCTTTCCTACACAAATGAGTTAATGCTGACTGCAGAACAAAAATGCAGCAGCATCACCCCGTTCAACTATTTTGCCAGTGTCATAACTCCAGGGGAGCCAATCCTATGACACAAATTAACGGTTTGTTTACAGCCAAAGCCAGACGATTCATCCCAGATGGACTTGAGGGCATGGGAATAGACACAAGACAAATTCACAGCCAGAAGTTCGTTTCTGAGGGTTTTCTTCTTGACCACAGTCTGAATCGAGATCTTTGTTGATACAGCACCACTACAGAAAACAGGCAGGACAACGGCTCGACATTTGTCCTTGGCTGCCAGTTCCAATAAGATGACTTCTAGCAATCTTATTTCAACTTACTGTGAATCAAAGCCCACCAATCGCTAACTAAAAGATTACTTAGCACCTAATAGTCTACATAGATTTCCTTCCTTTTTTTAATTTAGGATTCTGGGGAACCAGTGCTGCAACTTTGGGCAATGTAGGTCAGTTCTGTTGAATCAATACAGGTTTCTGTAGGAAAAGATTTAAAACTCTCATAAACACTTTCAAACTATTCTCTCTCATTCTGGACTTACTATTACTACTATTTAATCTATTTTTAGCAGATCATCAGCTTGCCTAATTCTAGGGAAAACAACCTGGAGGAGTCATAGGCTTAAAATGCTCATCAAACTGAACTACTGTGAAACGCGATTCTTGCCTCTCTTCTTTCCAGATGTTGCAAGGTGTTAAAGGCAGTAACAGAAATAACTTCCGTTCTCTACCTCAAGAGGTTCTCTGGTGCTAAGCCAGTCACGAGGAGATGGTCACAGGAAGTCTCAGCTCTAGTTTGCAGTTAGAGATGTTTATTATTCTGCCAACACTGATAACAGTTTTGATGACAGCCTACGAAAGCGATCCAGGAATAGAAACTTCAAATGATGTTGTGCAAAAGAAGGTCACGAGAAATATACATGAGAAATATGCAAACGCAGATGGGTATTTGAATCAAATGGGATATAGGATGTCACACCATAAATAGCAAAAACCTGATTTTTGAAGGGGAAGAGGTGGAATTTGTTGGCTCACCAAAACCTCAGCCACCACGTCCTAATCAATATAGACAACTAGCTAGATGGTACAAGAAACATTCACAGATATGTTTATGATTACAGGGGGGGAAGATGGCAGGGAAAAAGAATCAAGAAGCATTCACAATAGAAAACTGATCAGAATTAAGACTTGTAGGAAAAATTTCCTAGGAAAAAAATTCTGAAAGTGAATACTGTACCCACTGTCTGCATATAAGAAGTTCTGCGTAACGACAGTTAGATCCTCCATTTTTTAGCAATAATGGTTTTAAATTTTCTGTTGAACACTGTTGTCTGGAATGGAAGATTACTATTAGTTCTCAACAGATTAAATCAAATTCAAACATAACACTAGCTAAAAGTAATGGAAGTCAACAGAAAGTATTGAACTGATGAAAACAGTTCTTCTGATATGAAAACTTCCCATTACACTTCTTTTGCATGTAGCAAGACCGGAGGGGACAACAGTCTTTCCCCAGGATGGGCAGATGATGAGTAAAAGAAGAAACTGTATGCCAGTTAGCTGTGCTTTTAAAGTGCAAGGGCACAACACACACATGCAATGCACCTGC